CCTCAACGAAGCCGACACCATATACAAAAATGTCTTTTCTATACCGACTTCCTTCCCCACCCCTTCAAAACCCAACATATATAAACATAAAACAGCAATATTCACTGGCACTCTCAACACGACACGCAAGAATGGCACAATTACACAGAAGACAAACACTTTGAGTAAGTAGAAATTCTTTGATTGAATATAAAAAAAATATATTTTACATTGTATAAATTTACTTTTTCACATCCTAAATGTATTGGTTAAATGTAAACAATGTTTGTAAATCCCAGGCCCTGAAGATGATCTCAATAAAGATCGAAACGTTGTCACGATAAAGAAAATGTTTTTCTGAAACCTACATCATACCAGACCGCATCTCACGATTTCTGAATAATTACTTAATAAGAATTAAATGTCATCAACGACCATTTTTGTAGCATTGTTATACTTTAATAAACCTAACCATCCCTAACCATCCCTACTTTAATAAACCAACCTGTAAGTCATTAATTGAAAAAGTTATTATCCGTGATGGTATGGACATGTATATGTGAATAAGTAGCGGAGATTCGAAGATCTCAAGCAGTGCAGCTTATTGTACTTATTGCAGATTATTGTACTTTTCCTAGTTCCTTAATTCAGTTCCACTGACTCGATCCTTATTTTAAAAAGTATAAAGTCATTGATTGTTCAATGCATACCATTAAGTTTAGTACCAACAATGATGGTACATACAGAGTATTGCTATTGAGCAAATTTCGTAAATTTATTGAGCAACATTCGCTTTCTCTTTAGTATAACCTTCAAATGGGGGTCTTTGTTGAATATATCCAACGGGTGGAACTGCGGGGTTTCACCAAGAACCACCACCATCCAATAACCTCTTTATCCACAACAACCTCAACATTCCTTTTGTCAACTTATTGATCCGATCCAGCTTCCCAAAGTTCCACCAAGCTTTCGATCCATCGTAACCCTACTGACCAAGCCCTCTACACTTAACCCCCGATAAGTCATCTCGTATCTTAAAATGACGATTTCCTTGAGACCTCCTCGCTTCCAGCGTTGGCTAGTATCTCTTAGCAACGTCCTTCGGGTGCAGTGTTGGACATAATGAGAATGTTGCGAATGAGGGAAAAAACAATCGCACATATATATGTGATGATGATGATGATGATGATGAATACTAGCAAGTGGGGGGGTTTTTGTTCCACAAGGACTGCCGACTTTTAGCTTATTGTACTTTCCTATTTCCTTAGTACAGTGCATTGAATCTATCCTTCTGTTAAGAAGTACTAGGTCATTACGGCTTTCTTTGTATTCTAGGCTAATCCATTAAGCGGTTGCTTCGCATTCGAACATTCCTTCTCAATGCATAACCTAAAATATAACATTGTTACAAGTATAACCTACATCATTGAATATACCCCATTTTAGATGTTTTCTTAGATGACAATGACAGGTATATAGTCCTATCACTCTTCTGAGTTTACCTCTTTAACAGTAACAGTGAGTTTGCCAGACTTGGTGAGGGTTGTTTTAACATAAGCTTACTGTGTCTAGTACCTCATGGTCTTGCAGATCCTCATATGGCCAGTTTGTCTGCTTGTTCATTAATCAAAATTCTTTTGTGACCTGACGCCTAAGATATTGTTAGGTTATGTTTTCCCAGGTCTTGGAGGTTTTGGAAACATTCACCATAGTAACGATTTTAAGGTTTTCTAGGCTACAAGCAGTAATAATAACATTCAGCTTAAAGTCCGCTGTGTACTTCCTATGAGTTTGATTGCAAATAATATAAGCTTGCACTAAATATACCTGAGTCCTGACCCCGGTTCCTTCTTCGCTGGTTTTGACACCATCTATTTATCATATAACTGTAATTGTTTTTCTTGTGATTTCTTCTCCATCTTGGTAGTCTGGAAAAACTTTGTAGGTTATTGTACAGAATGTTTCGTGGGTCATATAAGTCGGTTGGACCTAATATCCGAGAATGGTGATGATTTTTGATCTTCAGTCCCCATGTAGTTTATTATTTGTTTTTGAAGTCTAAATGAACTTATTCAAAGTTCTCCTTGTATATTTGTGCCCAATTGGGGATGTTGTCGTCCAAATGGGAAATTCATTTCACATGTGGACTGCAGAAAACATTTCGAGAAGTTCAATGCACAAAATCCTGAGAAGTTCTGAGAGGTGGTAATTACAAGATGTCAAAACGGTATTGGAACAAAATGTTTCATTGTTGATTCAATTTTGTTTACAGACGACACAACTGCCGACAAAATTGAATAAAAATCGACTCAACGACAAAGACGTGCCGGTTAATATAAACAATCCCGTCTTAACACGGTGATTCCGTTTCTTATTAATGAATATGCATAAATTATTAATATTCAGCAAATAAATAGACCTAGTTCAAGGAAGGTTCAAGGTGATCACTCTTTCCTCTTATACGTATATATTGTACTACATATTTATTCACACAAAATTAAGGCACATCTAAAAATATATCATATTTGGAATGTTTGTTTCCGAGCCCTCAGAATTCTTGCTGCAACCCCGGCTTTTGGAGTAGCCTATAACTCTTTATTAAAAATCACCTACCCGTAACACTCGAAACGAAGAGCATTTGCTGACGATTAGATGTCTTTAATAATTCAATTCTTCGAAAGATTTTGGTCAATAACCGACAAAGTTCAATCGCCAAAAATGCCAGGTGTTATGCTTGTACAGAGTCAAGAAGGAAAAGAAAGTTAGACGGTTTTTTAAAGGAAATTGTCTGAAATTAGAGATAAACTAAAATACCTAGGAATTACTTTCATGGAATGCTCACATAGATCAAATAAGGGAAAAGTGTGGCCTTGACATGAATAGCAAAAGTAAACTGGGTTTAACTCACCATGCTCTTCGAACCATCTGTACTGGAATATTCCTTCCTATGTTTTTATATGCAGTGCCAATTTGGAAAGATTGACTTAAACGAGCATATAACAGAATTAAAAGTGTACCCCTGTTTGATGGCCATCCGCATAGCAAGAGGCTATCACCAATTCCTACTGCTAATGTAAAACCTATAATCCTACAGGTTTATGACAGTTAAAATGAGCGCTTTAATTTTGAAAATTGAAAACTGCTACAGAATAGATTAACCATGCAGATTACGAAATGCCAGTTCATTGGAGGGCATGGTAAGTTTGCTGCTTATTCGAAGAGATTTAACCTTCTCACTCGTGATTCATGTCGCTGCGACGGTCGTACACGACGAACAGTTCATCACTTACTGTAGACAGCCAACAGATAGCGCCTGCTGGAAGAATACTGACCAAAAGTACAATTACAACTGGTTTTTATTGGTCTTTGAGCAAGCAACATCTGAACCCATAGTGGAAGAAAGAAGAAAGTTTGGTTTGCCATAGATATAACTATACATTTATTTAAGCAATATTTATATAACAACTTAAATTTATATAACACGTAATATTTTAAATCGAGCATATTTTAAAACATACGCGTTTACACGTATAACCATTTGCGCCTATGGTAGTCACCAGGATTGTTGTGTTACGCCAGTGCTCTACCCATTCCTTTTGTACTACAAACATTTATTAACCTAGAATACTTTGGCGGGTCTGTGAGGTACTCGACATACCGTCACAAACTTGCCTACACACACACGCACACACACATGTTCAACCATTCTCGCCAATAAATACAGTCACACCCTAATAAACGCCATATATGAAGAGGGTCCTATATGCAACCATAAACTTTAATTATTCACACGGTTATGGATCGTTGGCGGATGTGTTGCACTTTTTTGAATATTCTTGTACTAGTTCAACGTCGGATATCTTGTCTTGTGGTGACTTTATCACCACAGAGTGGACACCGCTTTGGTCTTTTGCCTGTAAGGAGGTGTTCGTGGGTTAACCGGGTATGGGCAATCCTCGTCAACACTAGTCTATCCCTTTTTTAAAGATCCTGGGACCTTTAAAGACTAACATTCCTAGTGCAAGATCTAACATAATTTTTCGACGTTAATTTCTGACAAATAGTGCTGTAATTTGTATATTTTTTTATAGAAATATTTTATATATTTTTTATGGTACATACGTAGTTAAAAAGCTACGTTCCTCTTCTATTAAATGGTCTGTTTGACGTTAAAAACCTTTTAACCGTTTTTGGATTATAGTCGTTTCAATCAGATACGATAACGATTTCCCAAAATTTGGAAAAATTTGAAAATCGATACATTTAAATTCAAACAATAATTTATATTTAGAGTTCTCTAGAGGTTCAAAAACGAAATCTCATATTAGTTTCACGAAAAAAAATTATGGCTTAATTTACTGGAAAAATATTTGGCTTTTAGAATCTTTTTGGTTATTGATAAATCTTGATAGCTATTATTATATTTTTATTGCAATCTACATAAAAAATACTGTAAATGTATGCAATGTAATTTTACGCATTGTTATATTCACATGGTTGATTTGAGCAAGTAGAACGGCGAAATAAAAAAATTTAAAAAAAAAATCACCTTTCATAATAAATTTTGTCTGTTTTGTGTAAAAATTATGTCTGTTTCTTAGTGGCCTGTTGTTTCATAATTTGTTGAAGAGGAGCGGTCAAGAAGTTTAGAAAAACACCTTTTTTATTTTTTTTGACGACGTTTCGACTTTTATTCGGGCCATCTTCAGGACATAAAGTGTATTTTGCCACAAAACCAATATGGCACCACAAGAATATTACCACACTTTATGCCTTGGAGATGACTCGAATAAAGGTCGAAACATCGGCAAAAAAATAATAAAGGTGTTTCTAAACTACCTCATTCTTGACCGCTCCTCACTTCAACAAATTACCAAAAATTATTTTCATTTATTGTATTTTTGTTGGTTTATTTTAAGAGTAATGTTTATGCATAATATGTTTGGATAACGTATATATTTTTAATTAGGATTTGTTCCTTAAAATAAATAAATTGATGTTGAAGTGGTCCACGCATTTTGAAACCGGCGGGAATACGGTGCCGCTTCTCGCGGCCGTCCGCCTCCGTGAGGCCTCGTCCTTCGGGGTGAACGTCACGCAAGCAGATCAACCATTGAAGTTACCTCCGTGCAGCATGTCTCACGTCGGCGTACCCGCATCTTCCTAGGAGCTGCCCCGTACCGCATTGCTGGGGAATCCCGCCCGACGAGATGTCCCTCCTTCCGAAGAGCTCCTTTGAGTTCAGCAAGGCCGAATACTGGGAAGCCTTCTACAAGCAGCGCGACAAGAGGGAGTTCGAATGGTAACGGCATCCCGTCCCGGCCTGATCACGCATTTTAACGAGAATTTACACCTAATTCCAGGTACGGCGAGTACCCGGAGCTCTCCACCTACCTGCACAAGTACATGAAGACGAAGGAGAAAGTGCTCGTCGTCGGCTGTGGCAACTCAAAACTCAGCGCTGATCTCTATGATGTTGGCTATAAGTGAGCATTTCCAAAATCTAGTTTTTATCTATTTTTAAAAAATCCTATGAAAAGAGCATTCTTGCATAGTTTGCAATACTCACATTTTCCATAATGATAAAATATCATTTGAAAATTAACTGAAAAATAGCATGAACAAGAAAAATTATATTTTCTATATTTATATAATTTGAGTCTCATTTCTCGCAGCCCACCGGCAATTCCATCTTATTTAATTTACAATAAAATACCAGCAGACCTTGAGAATGACCCACACCAGGTTTGGCAGTCTGGGGTCTGATCTCGGTCTCATCCGTCCAGCCACCGAGGTTGGGCTCGAGGAGCTATCACCAGTGCAGTCAATTCCTAAATCCGTTCACACTCACCGTTAAATACATTATTTTCTATTTAGGTAATCATTCATCCAGTTATGGTGGTGCAGTACTTGATATTTTTTCATCACCCTCTACACATCAAATGCAAAAAAAAGTTGGTATGAACCATGCAACCATGCAACCATGATTCTCAACCCTTTTGCAGATTTTTTTTTCTTCTTTTTCAACTAAATCTTCCCATAGCTCTTCAACTATTCAGTTTTGATTAACTCAGAAAAAAACATTGAAAAATGTTAAATTTCCTTTAAGAATGCACCCTTCTAGAACTTGAAACTAAATTTAATTTTTAGAAGAAAGAATTTAATGTAATTTGGTTGTTCACTAGGTTTAGTGTCTCATTTTGTTTTGTTTGATTTTTTTATGTTGAATTTTTCATTCTTTTTGTGCTTTTTTTTATTAGGTAAAAGTTGGGAAATCAATTTTGCCCAGGACATATATTTGAATTAAGATATTAGCAAAATTTTTAATTTTTCCTATGCAGCATGGTACTCGATCCATCCCCAATTTTCAACATTTTATGTTTTTTTCAACTATCTACAGTTTTTATCATAAATCTACTCACTTTCAACTATTCATTTTTGGTTAAATCTGGGAAAAAAAAACTGAAAAAGTGTATTAAATTTTCTTTAAGAAAGCACCCTTCTAGAAAATTTAATTTAATTTTTGGTTAAAAAAACTAAATTTACAACTTCATTCTAAAAAGCCATGTTAGAGCTTGGCAAATTTCATAACAACTTCTTCGTTTTATAAGCTTAAATGCAGAAATTTTTTTCTAAATGAGAAAAAAGTGGTGACAGTAAAAAAAAGGGTGAGAATATAATAATTTAACTTTTGTACTGGGTAAACTTTAATTAACTTTATTTAATAAAAAAAAGGCATTTTAAAAAATAAACAAAATAGAAAAGAGGCAATGGACATAACGAACTTCTTTCTTGCTCTTGCAGAAAAATTGGGCAAAATTTCTACATTCAACAGACAAAACAAAATAAAAAAAATTACAGAAGTTGTGATACACAATTTTAACCTAATAAAAAAGTGAACAAAACCAAAAAAAAAAGAAAAATTCAACATGTCACACAAAATCCATAAAAAACGAATAAATAGTTAACAGTGAATAACCAAAACAAAAAAATTACGTTTAATTTATCTTTTCTGTATGTGTGCATTTTTTGTTATGTTAAAGTTGGGTTTTACATATTCTGTTTTTGTTTTTTTTAATTAATTAATTTATATATTTATTTTTTTGTCTGTCAGTTTAATAAAAAAGCACATAAACAGGAAAAATTAAACATAAAAACAAAACAAAACATAAAAAAAGAGAATAAATATAGTGAACAACCAAAGCAAAAGAATTAATTTTTTCTGTTCAGTGTAGATATTTTGCTCAATTTTTCAATATACACAAAGGAATACAAGATACCTATTAAATATGATACGGTAAAACAGCCCCTGTTTCCTGTAAAAATCAGACAGTGGACCCAGATACTTTTTAAAAGGATAGTTCCTACTCACAGTAAGTTGTTTTTGCAACGATCCGGATTTCGAGCCTTTTAGCTCATCATCAGGTTGAAGGACTTCTACAACCATGTCTCTCGTGGACCCAGATTCTCACTACCCTGCTCAAGCACAATTATCATATCGGATGTAGCCAGGAATAGCTCCATCCCTTCAATTAGGTGGGACCCATTGACCAACCTTTCTCTACATGCCAGACACATGCGTGGGCTTTGGCACAAAAGTAAGTGTCTATGTTTCAACTGACAACTACACCGAATTTAATGAAATCTGAGACAAAAAATATTTACTACAAAACTTGGATTTGTACCCACCAAATCAACCAGGTCTTAAAATCACAATCCTGAAAAGTTGTGTTATTTAATTTATTCAGTTTTGCCTCAAGGTTGCAGATATTTAGGCTTTACTATACTAATTTAATATTAATAAAACATTGTTTTTATTGGGACCCCAGTGACCAAGCGGTTAGGACATCCACTTGTATGTGCTGTGTTAGCTGTTCTGGGTTCAAATCCCAATGGAGTTGAGGGTTTTTTAATGGATTATTTTTACTGGAAAAATTGTAAAGTGGTTTGTCCCCTCCTCTGCGATACCCAACGGGTGGTTGGACATTAAGCCCTTCTATATGACAGGAATTATTTACTTGACTTTTGTTTTTTTGCAATTTTGCTTTGTTTAAAGTGATACATTTTAATTTTCCAGAACTATCCACAACATAGACATAAGTAAAACAGCAATAATGCATATGAAAATCGCAAACTACTTAGACAGGCCTAACCTCGTGTTTGAAGAAATGGATGCATTGAACATGACCTTTGAAAATGAAAATTTTAACGTGGTCCTAGACAAAGGCACACTGGATGCTTTGATGCCAGATGAAAATTCTACTACATATGAAAATATTACTAAATATTTTGATGTAAGACTTTTCATGTAATTCTTATAAATTTTGTATCCTGAATAAAATATATTATTTTTTTAGGAGGTTGACAGGGTATTGAGATTTGGCGGAAGATACATTATAATATCACTCCTCCAAGAGCATGTTTTAGCTTTTTTATTAAAGCACTTCATAGATAAATGCTGGATGATACGAGTCTGCAGGTGTTACGATGTCGAGAACAAATCAGCCATTGAGCAAGGAATAAAACCTTTACCCGTTTTCATGGTCGTGTGCACCAAATTCAAAAAGATGCCTGGATCTCAGTCTGTGAGTTTTACAACTGAATTAAATTGAACAATTTTCGTAAATTATATAAGTATTATTTCAGATTCTTGAACTATGCCCAACGCCCGATTCGGCAGCCCGTAGAGTTTCGTGTCCGGAAAAGATCATAGATTCAGTTGTAGAATCCCAGCAGGTTGCAATCGTATGTGCTGGGCTTCAAAGGTCGACCACATCCGGGAGGGAAATCGTGCTCGAAGTGGGAAAAGGAGACGATGAGATAGCGAGATATATTCTTCACATTGTCGACAGAAATGTCACCGAACCCAACAAAAACATTAAACTCTCTTACGGAGCTTTTATCGTCCCTCTAGGAAGGTAAAATCATAAGTGAAATATTTTTCTGGTCCTCTTTCTGATTGAAAAATTGCAGGGAAGCAGAATGGGTCTTTGGTACACCTGAAGGAAGACAGTATCTAGTTAGCGAAGCGGGTGTCACCAGGTTAGCCGTCATCACGTTAAACAGAGGACATGAATTCACAAGTATGGAATCGATTAAAGCTGAACTTGCACCTATAGTGGCTGATTTTGCACCTTCTAATTATAAGGTACCCCTTTTATAGAATTTAATAAATTAATTTTTTGGAATTCATATTTTTTTTTTTTTAGAAAAAAATAGTTTTTCTCTCAGTTGGAGGTGATGTTGGTGTACGAAATGAAGTGTTCGTCGGAGAGAGCCCTATTTCAGGAAAATATATTGTTGAGGAAACACAAGTCAATAATAACACAACAGTCAGAAGACTATATTTCATGGCTGCAAAAAATATAATACAATCCGAAGCCAAAATTAGAAAAGGTAGATAATTATTTTAATTTTTGTTATAAACTTTATTTGATCTTATAACGTTACAGTAAAGACAAGGAGAGGAAATGAGAGAGTTCTTGTAGATACATGTTCTTTAAGCTGCACTCATCACTCATTTATGTGCGTCGGTGCTTGCTCGGCTGTCGAGGCCAACTCAGAGAGTCAGATTTTGGTCATTGGCCTCGGTGGAGGGTCTTTGTGTTCCTATTTGCGTCGGTGTTTTCCACGTTCTTGCATCACAGCGGTCGAACTCGACCCAGACATGCTTGAAGTTGCAACGTCTTATTTCGGCCTAAAAGAGGACAAGCAGCTCATTGTCTATATCAAAGACGGATTGCAGTTCATCAAAGAAGTTGCCGAAAGAGGTGCGTATGACTGTCTTATAAAACTTATTAAAAACACTTTGTGCGGCATTGGTGGCCACATAGGTAAAATGTTGGCATGACGCTCATCAAGGTTAAAAGTCTTGGGTTTGAATCCAGCATCAAACCCAACATACTTAAATGTGATTTTATTTTTTTTTCAAAAACACCAGCAGACTTATCTGTCCTCTACTGTTGCAAAACCAGAAAATAAGTTTAATTTCTACCTTGTAGGTGCTAAATACGATGTTCTTATGTTTGATGTTGACAACAAAACTATTCAAACTGGTCTGAGTTGCCCACCTGCATCATTTGTCGAAATGGAAGTCTTACAGAGGGTTAAAAAAATTCTAAACCCCCAAGGTAATTTTTTAAATTTTATTTTAATTTTGTAGATGATAACAAATATTATTTTAGGAGTTTTTATTCTCAACCTGGTCTGCCGAGACACGACGATTAGCGCTGATATTTACAAAAGAGTTCAAAGCGTGTTCGGGACCGTCGGGTCGGTGAAGCTCGATGATGATTTGAACGAGATTATTTACTGCTACTCGAAGCCGAAGCTCGACATTAAACAGTGTTTGGAGAAAGGCTCGGAGAAGTTCGCAGACATCATCCAGCACAAGAAGTTGGAGAAGATAGACTGCATCGAGCTGGAGAAAATGTTGAATCTCTTGAACCTTGGCAAGAAGAAATAGCAAAAGTCCAAACCCAAATTTTGTGATAATAGTTTGTAGAAAAAAATCGTTTTCAGTGGTGTAGTTGACGGATGCTCATTGATACAATTTTACTGTGCTATTTTTGCCTGACTGTGTACATATATTTTTGTAATTTGAAGAGAATTTATATAAGGAAGTTGAAAAGGCTACAATTGCTAGTTTTATTTACAAATAGCAAAACAATGTATGAACTTTTTTTTTTAAATAACTTTTATACTCTTTTCAAAAATCAGCAAATTGTCCGATTGTTTATTAGATCAAAACGACAATAGCTTAAATACAGTTAATTATTTCAAAAATTAATTGAAAGCTTCCAGTCAAAAATGTAAATTGTCATTTTAACAACGAGGTTGATCTGTATGTTCCTTGTTATATATTGTAGAAATCTGAGGAATCATGTATTTTTGTACATAATTGAATTAGCTGATCCCACCACACACACAAAAAAAATTTTTTTTTTTTCCTCCCCCTTACAAATTTGGGTTTTTTAATTTGGCAGATGTACATGTAACAAACAAATTCTAGTCTGAGATGTTTCAGGTGGTGCATAAAAAAATTACTTGTTATTCACTAAACAATTTTAATTGATATTCTTAAATTATAATAAAAAATTTTAGTTTGTACATATCACCGTACAAAGCGAGTATTTATAATTTTTTTTTGTCAAAGAAAACCTCATTTGTTATGTTATTTTTATTGCACAAATATTTTTAAATTACTTTTAAGAGACAAGTTGCTGTTATAATCTTCCAAAAAAGTGCAAGAACAATTTTTTCTCCTTATTGTAATACCAGTTTTGTGTATTTGTTGTAAATTTAAAAAAAATCAACATCTGATGTCAATAATAATATCGCTGCCAAATATTATATTGTTGTTGTTGTTACATTTTACGAGTTTTTATTTTGTTAGATTTTTTTCTCGTTAGATACAATGTAACTTATGAAAATATGACATGATGGTATTATTTTTAGGAGAAAATAAATCGAGTTTAACGGTTGTAAATTTTTCCTTCTCTCTTTAAATGAATAAAGCGTTCAAAAGAAAACATCCCTGAAGAGAATATGGAATATGGTAAAAATTATGTATAGCTTTTATTAAAGTTTAGGTTCTACTGTTTTCTAATTTTGATCTCAAACGATTAATGAAAAGTTATAATTTATTATTCACAGACAAGCAGAGTAAAACTGTAAAAAGTTACCGGTAGAATAATGGCAAACCTCTATGCTTCATTATACAGCATGCCAAATTAATGATAAAAGAAATGTCAGCATTATTTTTAACTTTCTTGAAATCCAGCTCATTATTAAAAATAATTCCAGTTAAATATTCTTTTTATCAAAGGTCTTGGTTAAGATGAAAAAGCTAGTGTCACGAGCGAGAATCGAGCCCACGCCCTTCTAACCACTTGAGCTGACTTCGTGAATTCAAGGTCATAGTTTCGAATTCTGCTCGTGACACTAGCTTTTTCATCTCAACCAAGACCTTAAATAAAAATAATAATTTATTGAAATAATTAATATGGTCAATTATGGCCGTTAACATATGTGGATTAAGAATAATATAGACTCCACCATGCGGGGTAAAAATTAAATAGATCTCCCAAAGGTTTATGAAATGAAACCTGTAGTAACAATAAAAACACCAAAAACCTAATATTTATAAAATACATTACTAACAGTGCCCAGCCATGTGAATTATTGGAGTGAGTAAATAAAATATTCCTTTATCAATATTTTATTTGTTTTTAAAAATTCTTTTTTCCTTCCAACCTTGTTATTACTGGATTTTTCAACGCAAAATGAAAAATTAGACAGACACGGTTAGCTCAAGTGTTAGGGCATTGAAATTAAAGATTGTGGGTTCGAATCTCGCCTGTGACACCAATTTTTTATTTTGAAAAATAGTGTTCCTGTTATACAGGAGGGCTTAACGTCCAACTACCGACTGGGAGTCGCGGGCAAGGGGTCATATAATTTTACAATACTTCTTTCTTCAAACAAGCCATAGGTTGTGAGATTGAATTAGAACCCAAGACCTCTAAATGAGGCAAATATGAGCCAGATACTCTAACCACTTGGTCACCATGGTATCCCACGGTTTGCTTCAAATTACAATAAACGGAAATCCAAATGAGAAGTTTGTGACATGGAACATTGAAACCACGGTAGTTCAAGTGGTAGACCATCAGATTATCTTTAAAGAGCATGGGTTTGAATCCTGCCTGTGACAGGACAATGACACAAATTTTCCATTTAGAAAAATCCTGTGTAATAAATTGTATTAAAAAAAGGTACATTACTGGAATTGATTTAATAAATGTTGGTAAAAAGTGTTTTGTGAAATAAATAACTTTTGAAAAGGTATTTTTTTCTCCTCTCATGTTTTTTACTTTTGTCGAAAAACGGTCCAAAAAAGGTTGGTAAAATATGGAGTATGAAGAGGGTAAAATTCAGATATCCTGAAAGAGGAATGGATGGACTTATTCTCAGGTTTATAGAAAACTTATGAGTTTTGACTGCAGGTACTTTCAAGTGAAATGTGGTGGGTGACTCAACTGCCCAACAGGTCAGAGGGATAAAAGGTAATGTCGTATATCTTATGAAAATTCCTACATCTTACATTTGGTTTTATCGTCAATTTCTTTTAACGTGGACATCATTGTGAGCTGGATGCACAATTTTTTTTGTAATCTTTGATTTTTCCCAGGTGGGCATGGGTTGGGTAAGGTTAGATTAGGAATTCTGCATTTAGGTTAAGATTATGTCACACACACGATTCAATGTTTTAATGTGAAGCAGAAAACATATGCAGTACAGAGTGCAAGTTTTACATAAAATCAACCCAGCTGCAAACTTTTTTTTTTCAAACAAGTTTTTGATTTTCATTCAGTTTGCATTATGTATGATACATCTATCAAGTTACTACTTTTAATACTATCTTGGAAAAGTTACAACAAACATGTAAGTTGAGTGAAAGTGTATATTATTGTGTTATTATGTCCGTTTCTTCATTTTTATGTATTAAATGATGCCCAGGGGCCATGATGACAAAAGGGCGATGATTGATCACAAAGGGTGCACCATAGCCATCAAACTTCATCGGAAAATGCAGAAAGGTGTTTTTTTTACTATAGTTACTATTTTTGATTGATTGAGACTGATTGATCATGAAGAATTTATCTTTTAATAAGTAAAAACTACTTCCCAGTGGTTTTAATATACATATAACACAATTACATACAACAAATTAACTCACCAATGTCAGCACAAAGGCTGTCATCAGAACTTGAACATATTCCAATACAAGTTTCATGCTAGCATTATGCAATTTGTCTATTATTTTTATAACATTTATCACTGGTAGAACTCATTTATCACCCACTGATAATCAATTCGCAATTTCACAGGACTTTTATATTACAGCGTGGTACTTGGTCTGCACCTCAATCATTTCTATTAGTGGGCATATTATTTTTTAGGTGTTTCCTACAACTAAGTTAGGACTTGTGTTGAAATGCAAACACCATTTGAAGAAAGGAGTGCACAAGCTTGATAAAGGCTAGTTTCAAACGAGGCAGATTAGTAAATTCAACTATGTTGCCTTGCTGACTCTCACCAAGTTGACTGATGTCCGTTTTCTTGGCCGGTGTCACACCTGGTAACTTGCATCAACTTCTCTCTCTACAGGAGTTCTGATTAATGTTAGAACCTGAGGAACCAGAAGCACTCCTTGCACTTGATCTTCTGCAGTTGGAGGAAAGTGTGGGTCATCCGTTATTACAAAATCAGGTAAGACTTTCTCGCAACTACTGCTGTGCCACTTCATCCAAGCTTTTTGTCGCTATACTATTCACACTTTACGCCCCACACTGCAGGGCTAACAGATGTTTTCAATGAACTGTTCCTCATTGAAACTTGCAATTGTAACATTTACTATTGTGAACTCAGTTAGCTCAACAAGGAGACTTGTGTGAAAGACGAAATGATTGGGATGAGAATATGAGCGGCACTTGTGCTTGTTGATAGTTGACTGCAGTGAAGGGGTTTAGCCAATTCCCAATCATTTGCTACAGAGCTGAACTACTTCACACTCATCTGTCAACTATTTGAATCAACTAACCATCTGAAAGAGGCCTCATATCTGCTTGACCATTATCAAATAAACGAGCATCTTTGCTCAAAATGAAAACATAATCCAAGTAGGCTTGAATAGAAACTGCGAATGTTAGAGTTGATGAGGTATTGGCCTGCAAGTTGGTGAACTCTGTTCCTTGAGCTTGAATAATTCAACAAATCTGTGAGTTAAGACAGACCCAATGTGACTAGTATTAGCTGGTTCAGCATGAACTGCAGATGCTGTATACCTTTAGGGCTATGAATTCACATTCTTGCAGTAATCACGAGAATAAGTCTGTTCAGATGTCTCTTTCAGGGTGTCCAGATTTATCAACTTAATATTTTTCCTTTTTATACGTTCAATGCAGCTGACCTTTATAGGAGCCAATGTATTCCAATCAGCATGTTGGATCGACAGGCACGTCGATGTGTAAGAGAAATTTTTTTAATGTTGCCCATGGAGGGGGGTTAAAATTTTAATTACAGACTGTATTGAATTCCCCCCAAAGAATAAATTAAAAAAAGGTAAGAAAAAATACACCCCTTTAAGGCCCAGTACACATGAAGTGTTTTCTAACAAATGTTTACAAAAGTTCAAAGTAGAGCATATACATGGTAACGTGCAATTAAGCTCAATGAGCAAACGCGCAATTTGAGATTCCCCTCACTACGCGTGTTTTGCCACCCAAGTCAGATACAAATTAACTAATTTTGGTCGTGTTTAACACAACAAATTAACCTTGTTTGTTGAACCAATTTCCTGATGGACAAAATTGAAAGAAGTCCTGCATCGTGGAATGTGAAGTGTAGCGATTATTATATTTATTACAGCTCCTTTATGTCACAACCATCACAAACGACCATGTTCTTCACACTACAGTGAGTTAGAGGCAGCTTTACAGTCGAGTAATTCAGCATCACACCATAACATGTTAGTTCTGGAGCATGTTTAAACTTGTCCAATGTGTGGAACTTTTAACTTGTTCTACAATGTATTTTTATTTATTTTATTATTTATTTATTCATTTATTTTTTATTTTATTTTATTTTTAACAAGGGTTCGCAACAGCAAACGTCATGTCAAATCTCAGGGTACCAGTGTTTTGTGTTAAAAAAAAGCCCATTTGTAAGTGTCAGGTTTTTTTGTGCATTAGAGAATCAGGGCCACTGGATTCGAACCCGGGACATTTACCTTACAGGGATGAGCGCCGTGTCAATGTCTAAACCGTTGCGGCCACTGACACCCCGCAGTCTTTTTTTTTTTTCTAGTTGAGATGAAAAAAAGTTAAAGGCACGAGAGGGATTCGAACCCACGACCTTCGGCTAGATACGCCGCTGCTCTACCACCTGAGCTATCGTGACCTCGATCCACTCGGACATCAACTCCCCATCTCAACCCCACCTTTTGAGTTTTCCCTCCTTTTGCCATTTTTCAATGTCGTGTAATCAGTTTGGATTCTTGACAACAATTGAAATGGCGACGGAGAGCTTTAGTGAGTGTGTGAGTTTTTGTTCTAGCGGGATAGAATCCCTCCAGACGCTGAGGTCTTATGAAATATTGCCCTTAATCAAGTGCAAAAAATCGCCAAGAGCTATTTGGCATTTTAAAATAATTGAAAAATGTTGGTTCAAAATCACATAATTTTGGGTAGAGAGTAATGAAAATATTGTTTGTGAATCTACCTCTTAAAAGAGGATGATCTCCAATACATCTTTTGTCGTAGTCTTCTTTATAGCGGAGATAGAGATACCACAGGTAAATGACTTCCGTTGAGAAACTGCTCTTGTCCAAGCACTTTTTTGCGATTCAACCCCCTTTGGGTACTAAGCCTAAAAATGATTTATTTCACAGAATATTAGCCGACACGTAAATAGCTCACTGAGCTATTTAAAACACCCTAAACCTATTAAATTGATACCAGTAACAATAAAATTGGAAGGCATAAAAGGATTTTAAAAATAAATAAGCAATTGAAAAAAAAGGTCCTCTTTATTGAATCACCCCAATACTCTATAACTTTTTGTTTGTTTTTTTACAATAGAACACAATATGTACACTGAGTCCCATTTGAACTTTTATGCCAGGTAACATTATTTACAATTAGTCAGTCACTTTGGCACTAAGACATTAATGCTTAAAAGACTAGGTTTCAATGGAATGGATATCACATATCTCAATGGAACGTTTAGGAAGTACGTTTCATTATGACAAACGGTTTCAACTGCACTTCAATTACTGCTTTTCAGTCTTTCAATTTTCATTTTACCAGCGACGTGGCCTGCCTTTGTTCTTTACTCTGTCAAGTTATTAAAAGTGTTTTAAAAATAAATATCATTAGATGAATAGTATAAAAAAAAGGTCCTAGTCTTAGCCTATGATAAATATTTAAATAAATATAAAACAATAACAACACAATTAATAACTTTCAAGCGTTTATTCAAGCTGGCAGTGAATGAAAAAATTGTACTATTTTATAACGCATTAACGTTTTGTAATATATAAAATATTTTTTTGAGGTAAAAAAAAATTGCATCGTAAATTGCAGGCTTTCATCGAGCAGTTTATCGGTAACAGTTGAAGCATACCGAGCACCGTACGCCTTGAAACCAAGAGCATACAGATCAGGCATACCGAACAAACCAAAAACATTTTCTTCTATAACCGTCAAGAAATTTTACCCGCTGCAAAAAGATACAATATATATTAAGGATGTTCTTGTTTGGTTTTTAAAGAAAAATGTTTTCTTCTATTTTACAATAAGATTAAACATAAACTTGAATATAAAACTAACACTGCTGCCAATTAGCGTACAGGCCTTAATTTAATTATTGCCTGAATTCTGTACCAATATATTTTACACAAAAAAAATCAAACGTACAAGGAAGCCTATAAAAATAAATAATCAAAAGTAACTTGCAGAAAGCTATAAATTTGACATGACACAAATTTATGCGTGTGTTCTATACTTATCTTTACACTGACAATTACTACATCATTACTGGTGCTATTCACATATATAACAACAACAAAATTCTTGCAAGTGTAAACATTAAGAACAAAAGCTCTATCAGGTAGTCTTGTCGCAAAGTGTAATAAAAGTTCTATCAACAAATTCCAAATACGCAACAATTTTTTTGTAATAATTAAAAAAAACAAGTTCAAAGCCACTATTACAATTCCATTTATAAATATAACTGCTAAAATTACTTAGTCTTTTGTCAAAAAAGTTTTTTCACTATTTTTTTAAAAGCACCAGTCTTCTTTTTGATGCTGCTATTGAGTGAGACGGGCATCGGCTGTTGGAGTGAGGAGAGTGTCTCCTGACTGGATGTCTGCGTCTGCGCCGATGATCTCTGCTGCCGGGTCAAACCAGCGGCGCAGCAGCTTTTGGTACAAGCGTTGACTCCTAGCTGAGCCGTTTCTTCGTCATTACTGCTGATCGTAATGATGTCGATTTCATCGGGGCGGTCTTTTTTCTTTTTCTTCTTCTTTTTCATTTGGTCCCGTGATATTTTCCTTTGAGAACCGTCTATAAGGAGTTCTTCGTGTGTTGAACCTTTAACAAATTGTCAATAACAAAAGAATATTGATTATTATTTAGATTAAAATAATAAAGTTGAAATTAAATAGATAAAAGATAAGATAAAATTAAAACAAGATGTTGGAACTTAACATTACAAAAAATTATAGTTAATTAAGGTTTTTAGTTGAGATAAAAGAAGTCAATGTCACGAGCGGGATTCGAACCCACGATCTTCGGCTAGATACGCCGCTGCTCTACCACTTGAGCTATTGTGACCTCTATCCACTCGGACACCAACTTCCCATCTCAACCGCACCTTTGAATTTTCCCTCCTTTTTGCCATTTTTCAAATGTCGTGTAATCAGATTGGATTCTCGACCACAAATGAAATGGCCACGGAGAGTTTAGTGAAGTATTCATTCCAAATCATTCAATTCACTAATTCCGTGTCTGCTTGACCAATTAATATATTATAATTAATTAAGATTTTTAGTCGAGATAAAAAAGTCAATGGCACGAGCGGGATTCGAACCCACGATCTTTGGCTTGATCGCCGCTGCTCTACCACTTGAGCTATCGTGACCTCGATCCACTCGAACACTGCCACTGACTTTTTTATCTCGACTAAAAACCTTAATTAATTATAATATATCAATTGGTCAAGCGGACCACGAAATTAGTGAATTGGATTACAAAAAATGTTTACGTTAAACATTGTTGTGATAAACCTATAACTTGTCGCCATCTCCCGTCATCTTGACCTAATGTATTATAATGCGCCTATTTTCACGTGTTTTGTTTATTTTCAACATTTCACCAGCACCAATGGTTGCACTGTGTGTTATTTTGTCAATTTATGTCCTCTTATGTGTGTAAAATGGTGGTGAAAGCGGTTTGTAGGTAATGTCTCTTTTTTGTAAGAATTTTGGTCTGGATTTTTTTTCTGCTTCCACCAGTCGTAATTTTGAGAATTGGGTTCATTTTCTTTGGATATTATATTGTTTTTGTGTTTACAATGTATAAAACCAGCAAGAATAGACAGACCATGTTGAAGCAACTAAAATGTATCTCAAAATTAAATTAAGTCTTCCAACAATTGTATTTTTCAATTAAAAAAAAAAAAAAAAAATCAACAATCTAAATAGTTTTTATTATTTAAACCATGATAAACAAATAAGCATGCAACATTTGATTTTGAGTGCAATTTTTCGCGGTTCCTTAAAAAAAACTTACTCGAAGGTACAAAAGCTTCTTCAGAAGGCCTTCGCTGCTTGACTGGTGGTCCAGCGACAACGATATTCGTAGAATGCCTCCTCTGTGGCACTGGTTGTTTTTTGTTTTTATTATCTTCTATCGATCTTCCATTTCCAGCAGTGAGCCATTTACAAAACGCAATACAAAGGAAGAGCATGACAACTTCAAATGCTATTATCATTCCGTGTTGTCCGTAGAAGTAAGCCTAACATAAAATAAATAAAATTATTCGAACGTTGATAAATCAAATGTTTCAGGTATTGAATTAAACAAATTCACACCTTGGGCCCCCATTCGTCTCTATCTTCGAGTAGTTTGTCCAGTGTAGCAGTCAGCTGTTCAACTTTGGCTGAAACTGTTTTCAGTTCATTAGCGAGGTTGTTTTCCCTTTCCGCAGAGAGGCGAATCTCTTCCATCATGTTGGACAGGGATCGCTGTAATTCCTCGACTTGTCTTTTATATCTTCTTGATAGTTCTTCGAGATACTGACTCGAAAGGGACATGTTCACTTCTAAAGCCTGTTAAGATGGAAAGGCAAAGTTGATAAATTATTTAACAGGCGTTTATCATGAATATACGTACTTTAATACGGTTCGCCAAACGAACGAAAACACTTTCTTTCTGTACTTTTAAATTCATAGTTGCTTTGGCAGTCGAAGCTTCCAGATCTTGGGTCTGTTCCTCTTCCAGCTCCGGAAAAAGCGAATCAAGTGCTAGCGAGTCCGCAGTGACCGTTTCATCTTGACTTGGAGCAGGTTGTAGAACAGAATCCTGGGCTGTCACATTTACTTGTCCTGTATTATTTCTTTCCTCACCTACAAACAAAAACATTAGCAAACTTCAAATTATAAATAACTTTCTAGTACAAACTAACAAAAAAAATTATATTATTTATTGCTATCTGTTCAAAGTAAATATACATTGACCAGGAGGCAGTATGGAGAGACCATCCAGCTCATTTATTTAGTTTGGGGGGGGGGGTTAGGATAGAAGGCTACCAGGCAATCGTTTCGGACAGTATGAGGATAATAAGGTTGGGATGTTGAGGAAAATGTTCGGGCTAGTGGGTCATGGTGGATAGTTTTCAATGGAAATTGAGGAAGCGAGATCAGATCTTTATTAATCATTTGATTGGCAATGCAGAAGAGATCGTTGAAGATGCGGAGCCCACAGTTCTATTCTGCTAGTCCAAATTGGTCTATACGTGTTTTGTAAGCAGTTAGTTTGGTCCCAATAGATGTCTGTTAATCCATATCTTTTGTTAAGCTCTTTTCTTTTGAATCTTGTATGGGGTTCTATGTAAGTGTACTAAGGTATGTGCACTGGTGCAATGGTCTTACGCTTCAGTGTAAACGTGATTTTTTGCGTGTTCAACCTGATCCGCCCCTGAGTCCACCAGTCAGTAAGAAAATTCAGTTGTTCAATTGTTTCTTTGGCTAGGGATAGGATGGGAGTGTGCAGGATTGTAGTGTCGTCTAGGTTTTGAGTAGTGTAGGTGTCAGCAGTGTTGATGGTGTAGAGGATTGGACCTAGGAAACTTCCTTGTGGGACACCAGCTAATATAAAAATTCTTACTAGATTTTTGTATGTGTTCGACATCTAAAGGTGGAGTTGCTTCAACAGACTGAAATGAACTTAAATCTTCATTTTTTCCTGTATCGTTTGCCGCTGGAACCTCATCGGAAATAACCGTCTGATTTGACTTGAGCTCCGGAGCTGTCGTGTTTTCTTCAGACAAAGTCTTTGTTGGGTGAATGAAGGAGGACGTGGTGAAATCCGAGTCCTCTTGATGATCGACTTCGACTTCGAGAGGCTGGGGTTCATTTAGTGTTGTTTGCACGAGAGGTACAACCTCAGGCAATTTATCCTGGCTGACGTTCAAAGGCGTCTTCTTCTTTGTCACTGCCAGGTAGTTGCAAAGGGCCACAATAGTTTCTTCGTTTAAAAATGATTTGATATAAGATACTCCCAAGAAATCGCGCGCTGAAGAACGGTTAGAAGAGGTCTCGTTAAACCAGGAAAACCCATAACTTGAGCATATTGATGTGTTCACAATTATATTGTTTATGAAAGGGTTGAGAAGTAAAGTTTTTAATTTTTCTCCTTGGCAACACATAACATCAAATAGCCTAGAAAAAATAGAAAAATTATGAAAAAATTTGTTTTGTTAACTATTATTAAAATTTGAGAATAAGGTTTTCACCTGTCATAAAATTGCTCAGAACAGTTGGTGCAGACAACCGCATAGCTTGGTGTGAAGCAAGTGTTGGACAGGGTGTCATTGGAACAAGTGTTATTTCTTTTTCCCCCTTTGACGACTAAAACTTCTGCTGCTTTCTGCACCACATGCATTACAGCGGCTTTTACCGGGGCCAAAAAATACCCTCTGTCGCCTTCAGATAGTTCTTCGTCTGTTTCATCCTCTTCGATGATTGCTTTTGTGGGACCATCATCTTCGGCATCAACATTGTCCAGCACTTCAAGCTCACTGGTGCCAAAAGCTTTGAAGAGAGAAATCGGGCAATAGTGCTCCGATCCATAATGGGAGAGCATTTCGACCTTGATTATTTTAGCAAAGTTGGGCAGAGGTGGAAATGAAAATGTTTGAACAGTACGTTCATCCTTGGCCTGGACTGTCGCCACCAGGCTCCAATCTCTTGTCGGGTATCTATCGCTTACAAATATATTTAAATCCTGAGGAGACGATGAAAACAATTCAAAGTTTGCGATCTCAAACTGAAAACAAATAAAATTAATTATAAACTAAAGTTAGGCTTATCTCAACAAGTAAAAAAGTCAACTGACAAAACAATTCATTAAAATTTGACCAGTGAGATACAAATACAAAAAAGTTAGAAAATTTACCCTTTGAGGTTGAATCGATTCGCACAGCTCAACAATAAACCAAATCTTCACATTGCAAGGGTTGAGCATGTAGTCATCCCTGCTGGGTGAAAGGATTGCATTGGGGTTGCCTGCTTCAGGATTTGCAGCAAGTACCTTGGCGCCACAATCGGGCGATGCATAATTTTTTACTCGCACCTTCATCGTCCCGACTGTCAGGTTCTCCCCTGAAGAGAAAATAAATAATATTAACTATGAAAACCGTTTATATGGAGAATTTTTCCATGGAGTATATGGAGAATATTTATTTATAATTTATATGGAGAACAAGAAGAAATGGTTTTAATTTACTCTGTTGATATGACTAATCCATGAGAACTTTTTAAATTAATTTTAAACCAATTAATATGGACTTAATTGACTGATAAACTATACTTCCACTAAAAACTATTTTGGGTGAAGTTGCACATTGTGATTTATGCACTTTATTAAATTATGGAAATTAAAATGAATATTATTTAATTATAAATATTATCAATGTTTAGTGTGATTTTAAGTTGTTTTAGTATATCATTGAATATTTAGAGACTGTACCTTTATTTTTTCCAACTTCCGCCATCTGTTTTTTGGCCCATTCGCTGAAAGAAGGTATATCATCGTGTGAGGCATTCTTTCCTTCATGCCCCAATTCGTGGACTTTGCTGTCAGAAGGTGCCGCCGGTTCAGCCACTTTAATCTGATCGTGCTGAGGCTTTTGTTCAGGCGGCGCTGGCGGCTTTCCCTCCTGGGTCTTCGGCTCGCTGACATTACTAGCAATTTCCGTTTCCAATTCCTGAGGTAGTTGTTCATCGGGTAACGACAAGGGGGTAAGCTCGGAGGTGAGATTCTCGACTAGTCCAGGGCTTTGGACTACCGCCTCCTCCAGTATAGTGTCAAAGCTGGCTGCCGAGGAATCATTTTCAACCACCCTAGAAAAAAAATCGCCAATGTGAACAATTGTAATCGAACTACTTAAAATTCCTGACAGTATTTGAAAGAAAAGTCTCCTCAAAAAGTAATTAATCTTCTTTTTTGTCAAAAAATAAATAAAAAAAAGAAAATTAGTGCTAATAAAATAACTATAAAAATCGATCATTTTTTTAATAAAAAAATTAATGGTTATAAATGATTGTTTTTAATTAAAAATTATTGAGAGTTTTGTATGATTGCAGAAGAAAGCACTATTCTTTAAGCCTAAAATATAAATTTTGTCCACATCTTCTTTTGAGTGTGCGACCACTTATTGCTGCCACCATTGGCAATATTTGTCACACATATTTATTTTTTGAAATATTTTATTATACCTGACTAACAATTTACACAGTCACTTAGTAACGCAACATAATTCCGTAACAATAGTTTAACGACTAATTATTGATTGATAACTGTTGATTCGTCTTATTTCTTTTCATTTTTTTTTTTTTAATGTTTAAGCGTGATTAATTATTAAAAACCACATGACCCTGAAGAAATCGACATAACAAAACCCGAATGCAAAATAAGTTCAGTGTTATGAATCCACTTGGAATTCAAGGTTCCTATAATTGCTACTATACATTGCTTCTTTTTTTCTTTTTAAAAGCGTCCGAGTTATTGTTTTTTGAGATCTGGTGCGCAAGAAGAGTTAAAAATACCCGGGCAATTTCACACTTACCGAGTAAAGAAAATCCACCCGGAGAGGATGACTGTGTAAAAAATGCACATCTGCCATAGTGCAAGGCTGGAGGGCCACTTTTCCTTCGACTTCTTCCTACATCCTGTAGGAACCATTCTTTCATTGAGTCATACCTGCGAAACTCAATAACGTCAAGAATGGGGATTTTTTTTTTTTTTTTGGTTTTGTTCTTCAACATTAACGACAAGCACACTCACAAGAGGTCCCTATTTATGAAAAACAGTGGCATTGTAATTTTGTAAAAATGATTAATGAATTGGAAAACAAGGAAACTATATGGTACAGGGAAAATCTAAAATTAAGATTTTTTTCAAGTTAAAAAAAACAACTATAGTTTATTCTGTTGAATAACTCGCCAAGACTGCCGAGGCAAAATCCTCTGGGACATATAACATGACTCAGATTTAAGTTCTACTCAAATATAATTTTGTAAAAGAAAGCTAAAACAGAATATAAAGTCATTCCCTAAGAATTTTAAACTTCGAGGGCATTTTGAATTTATATTTTCCTACAAATTCTGGGATGTTTTTGAGACCCAAGCGCAGCATGAAACGTTTGTCTGTTTAACCTAATGTTCAATCAGTCATGACAATTTATTAGGTCACTTCATCATTTAACAGACGGGCCAACATACTCTGCCCAATTGTCTATGAATGTCACCATTTAGAAATGATCAATAGATTATAATTTAGAAAGATCAAACTCTGGAAATAATAATACCATAAAAGTAAAGCAATTAAATTAATTCCCAATAATTCATAACAACTCAGTCTTATGTTCATTTATTTTACTGCTTCTGATATTTGCTCTTTTGGCCAGTTTGGTCAAATTTTCAATAAAACAAAGCTACTGATTTAACATGCGTAGACAAATGTATTTGCATGTCCATTCTCACTTTATCAGGGAAGTTGCATGGGTTAGGGCTAGGTTTAATTTTGGTTATGTAGGGTTTGAGATGGGTTGGATTAGGTTAATTATAGTTAGCAATGGGTTAGGGTTAGGTTAAGCAGGGTTAGATTAGGTAAATTATGGTTAGGGGCTGGTATGGTTAGGTTAAGTAGGGTTTGAGACAGGTAAGATTAGGTTAATTAAGGTTAGGGATGGGTTAGGTTAGGGTAAACAGGATTAGAGATGGGTTAGGTTACATATCCATGGTTTACAGCAAAGAGGTGAAAATACGCGTTTTTACATACTATTCATAACAACTACCCCATACAATTAATATAGTTATTAAAAAATAAATAATAATAATAATAATAATGGCCTTCAACCACTTGGGTCATTGATTTAGACCGGTTTCTTGATAGTCAGGTAAAAGTGTTGCTGTTGAATATGAAGAAGAAAAGGAAGAGCAGTGAACAACACCGTCCCAAGGGACAACCGCCATCGCCGCCCCCAAGACGGATGGGTTAGCATTGACTTTTTGAGAATCCGTCCTCTCCTCGACCACGGGCGTTTGTGGGTTGTGGATAAAAACCATTTTCATCGCAAGTATTGCGTTATGGAACAGTCCACATCCACCTAACTGACCCTAAGATAAACCTGCTCGAGGTGTTCACTCATACGGCCCGCAAAGCATCCCCTACCAAACCACCTGTTCCAGGGTTGCGAGGTGTTGAACCTTAAATCGTTAACGACCTTTTTGGTTGGTACATCTTCACTGTTTTGCTCTGTCAAAAGCTTTTCGCCATAACATTTGTCAAGGGTATAAGCAGGGTGAGACAAAGCATCGAACCACTTAAGATGGTAAGATGATAACCAGCATAGCCAAGCTCAAACGTTAATAATCTTCAATGTGAGATTTTTTATCGGGTGTGCGGGGTAATGAACATGTAGTTCATATATAGTTCCAAAACGACCCAACTAGGGGCGTCGGTGGCCGCAAGGTTTAGTCTTTGACACGGCGCTCATCACTGTAAGGTAAAGGTCCCGGGTTCGAATCCAGCGGCCTTGCATTCGAACCCGACATACTTACAAATGGGCTTTTTTCAAAAACACCAGCACCCTGAGGGTTTATATGACCTCTGCTGTTGCGAACCCTCGTAAAAAACAAAAAATAAATAAATAAAATAAAACGACCCAACTACATAGAAGTGATCTTAAGTCAATTCCTAGATAACTATCGCAGTACCATTAAAGGTAATTAAATGTATACACTAACAAAATTCAATAATATCTATTTGTAACCTCTAAAAACGTCAGCACGTGCGTTATACTACGATATACGGTTGTGTGAAAGTATTAGTAGTAAAATGCAATAAGATGGCTATTAAAAATAGAAGAAAATACAGAGTAGAAGAAAAGCTTCTATTCCAATCAGATAAAGTGTGTACCTCGAGTAAGTAAAAGGAAGAAAATTGCTTTTATTTTGTATGTAAATGCCTCATTCTCAGTGGATTTCGTTTCAAGCACTTTTTATTAAAGAAGTACACTTAACATATACGATTTCATATCACTTTTGAACGGAAATTAATTGTCGTTTGTAAGCATGCATTGAACAATGGGTACTTTTCAATTCAAGAGTTTCAACGTGATTAATTAAGAAAGAAAAAAAATAGCGCATTTATTGCATGTGGATTTATTTTCGTGTAAAATATCTTTTGCCAAAAGTACTGTATGCAGTTCAAATAATATTTTAAGACTTAAGTTTTGTCTTATATTAGATTAATTTTGTAATAATCACAGTGCAAAGTGTAATTTGATAGCTATGTGCTTTATATTTCAGTTTTATTTACATGGAATATTTATCTGTTTTATTATATCTACATACTGTCAAACTAATTCGAATTATAAAGACGTTCGAAGAGGAAAGAAAAAAATTTGTTACGTATGATTTGGTTATGGATTTTTATAAGTTCTTACTTTAATGGTACATAAATAAAACATAGTAAAAGTATTGACAAAGCGGAAATAGATTCAATGATAAAATTGAACATTTTTACGCATTATTAAAAAAAATTTGAAGCGGTTTTTGTTTTAATGTGGCCTGGCGTACTTTGTTAAAATGATTTTCCAAGGTGACCAGTGGTGAGAACTCATTTACAAAACACTGATCGCAGAAGATAACAAACTAGAGAAATATGACAAAGAAAAATGTGAAAATCATAAAAATGGGAAGTGGCTCCATTTCGATTTAAATCATGCTTTATCTTGCCCTTTTACGAAAAATATTTTCTATCACCGAGTGTATCAAATAAACGGAATTTTTTTCGATTTACCAAACTGACCTGCTTGCTGAGGAGTTTGTATTATCAAGAAATTCGAATTATCAAGTTTAGAAATAACACGAGTCGAGTTGGACTATGCGACGATTAAAAAAAAACCTCATAATAGTTACATCTGACGAAGGCAATTTAAAATGAGTCTAGGTCAATAACCACTGGGCTGGTATAAATCAAAATTAATTTAACGAGCCCGATGGACGTTTAATTAAGAACGACGCTAAGAAAAATGCAAAGATGGGCAGACGGATCAATGCGGTGGCGAACGTTTGACGATCTGGGGTGTGGCAGGCGCATTTTTACACCCCCGACTTCCAATTTTGAACACTGGTCCAAATCTAATTAAAAATTTTATGACATTTTATTTGGTTAAGTAATTCCATTTTATACACTCAAAGACAAAAGACCGGGCACTTGTATTTATTTGTTTATCCTCCATAATAACTAGGTATAAAGATAGGCATAAAGTTGACTTAAAACGTAAACACAACATTAATAATCCTATAATAACCTTAAGGTTGTGTACCTTTAAGGATTGCTACTAATCCTTTTACTCTCGCTTAAAAATAAATTAAATCAGTTTAATTTCATCATTTCTAAAGCCAACTTGTAATTGTTTTCTTTGATGAAACAAACTTGAGTAAAAAATTAATCATTAACTTTTTACTTAAAAGCATGTTTATGTAAGTTACGCCTGCACAAAACCCTTAGTTCAGCGACATATGATGTTGCGTCTGTACAGATTCGAAGAATGTTTGTAAGCAATAAACCCTTCCCTGTTCACTATTCCTTTTACACTTGTAAAGACAGATTCAGATTAATCATATCCGTGAACAGGAAAGGTTCTTCTCAAATTATAACTTGTGTTTAACTAATAAAGTTCTTTTTAAAAAGACTCTCGTTTAGTCAACACACGTAACTTGTATGGATCTCGACCGGGTAGAAGCTTTGGCCAACTTTAGCGTCCATTGCACAGTCCAAACTACAAGTTCTGGATGTGCCGCGCACTACCATTCTCGATGGTCTATAGCGG